GGAATTATAATTCTAATTTTAAGCTTAAATCAAATTAACCAAAATCTACCAGAATATAATCTCATATTAAATTAAAAGTTGCTCATATTCAAATCTAAGTAGTTTTTCAACTGTATTAATAATAAACACGAAGGAAAACTTTCGGCGTCGAAATAGAGACAGTCCTGGCGTTAACTTCGCTGTATTAAATGCATCTTTCTCAAACGGCGAGATTTCTCAAATACTCAATAACACTTAAGCAGTAATAAGGGGAATCGGAATCGTCATAAAAGTATAATAGTGGATTGGGGTGCCGCAACAACAGCGGTGACCTACACAGCGCGCGCCGCCGCGGCAGTCTTCTGTGGAGCTTTCTAATGACCTCAGGCGTTCTGTGTTGCACGATAAAACATTCCTCATCCCTCAGAAACCGATAAAAACCCCTGTGAACCGAACACCGCTCGTTTCTTGTGTGGGAAACCTCAACAGTTTAAGGACGGGACGCGTTTCGGCATATCTTCGATGTTGCAGCAAAAATGGACTCTAAACGCTAAAGGATAACACTGTTTTGCAATTAGCCGGGGCCGAGTCAGCACAAACAAAGCCTTTTTAGGTAAAAACTATTTTCGCACTTCCTAACTAATGTAGATTCGAGATAAGCCACGAATCACGATTGCTTTTTGTTTTTCTTTATGTACACGAGTGTTTTGCTTCACTAAGTTCAAGTTGCATGTTTAGTTTTGTATATATGATAGATGTAAGCTGCCTTATATATAAGTAATAACGAATTATAATACAGGTAAGTACTAGGTCCGTTTGTTAAACTAGAAGAATGCATTTGTTAAATGAACAACTACTCGTAGTGTTTGAAATCGCTTTTAAACATATGGTAATTTAATTAAAGCACTTTTAACGGTTTTAAATGTGAAATTGGTTACTTAAACTTATATACTAATTATTTTAACCACGGCCCGATGTTTCGGATGCTTGAGACCACGTATTATAATTGTATATATTATATAGGTAGGCATAATATGTTGTAAGTCACCGTAGTTCAGTGGTGTAACGGTCCTAAGGATTCTAGAGAAACATTGTTGTTGGCCAGGGTATAGAAGCCTAACGAATAACTTGGTTGTTGGCGTTAACTGATCAATGAAACGTACAAAAATGTTGTCACCCTACTCCCTACGTTAAGGAATTCCACATTATGATGTATGTGTACTTTAGGCAACATCATTATGGCGCAGTATTTTGGCGTGATAATTTGTCATAATTCGGGGTAGGCTTAACCAAATCATAATGGTTACGTCACGTGTAACCGCAATAGAGAACATGCGTACACCAATGTAAACTTTATTAATTTGATAATTGTGCTGATGCACAAAACAAAATTTGCAAGATATTGTTAATAATTACAATGTCTTGTATGTTTTATTATATCAATATAAAAATTGGTCTTCAATACGAATACTTATTCATAAACAATATGTATTAATAATAACGCTATTAACAGCAATTTTATTATCTGTATGTTATACACATTTAATAAAATACTTTTAACGGTTCAAAACGCGAAATATAATATATATATAATATAGTTTATTAATTAACAATTTATTATAACTACGGCCCCACGAATGTTTTGAGACCCCTCGTGACCAAGGCTGCTTCAAAAATAAGTTAAAATAAATTTCAAATAAATAGCATATTTCGCGTTTTAAACCGTTAAATGTGTTTTATTTAAATAGCCATTTTTATAATCCATCAATGTATTTATATTTAAACTTATTTAAAAATTATTTTTAACTACGGCCCGACGTTTCCGATGCTTTGCAGCAATATGTACTACTCACATAAACTACAGACACTATCTATGTAATTAAACATTCCGTAAATACTGAGAACTTCTGTCCCATATATAACAAAAAATAAATTTAAAAAAACGAGTATATAGAATAAAAAAGTAAAGATACTTTCAATGAATAGTCGTAAGGCTTTAAGCTACGGAAAGCTTTTTACGAAGGACTCGCCGACGCAGCTTCTTTGTTTTTTGGTACTATCCTGTTAATTAATTTTACCACGGTATTTTGCTTAATCAAGAGCAAAATAAATAACTTTTAAAATCACTGTATCTGAAATAAAGTATAAAATTATAACAATTTTAAGAACTTCAAATTGTATTTTTTTATTTTTAGTACGTGTCGGTTTACGATTTAACATAATAAAATGTGTTGGTAAAATTCAAATGGATATTCAAACGTTATGTACAGGCAGGTAATGCCGTGTCCACACGAAGGTTCTATCGATTTTCTGTACGGTTATTCAATAATTTACAGCTTGAAAAGAGGTGCGCTTATTCGTTACATTCTTATTGACTGAAAAACATTACAAAGTTATTTATTAATAGTTTATTGCACAAAAGAAAAAAAAACAAATGTGACTTATATTCTTAAAATATGGACTGCAATGGGCGGCCTAAACGCTAACAAGCGATCTCTCCCAGGTAATCCAAATTACTTTGGAATATTCTTTAACTGCTACTTTCATCATCAATAGGGATAAATATATATAAAAGTATCAATGATTGACTAAATTTTTGACAGGGAATCAAAGTCACGTCCTTTAAATATTTTTTTACTGAAATAATTATAACCGCATTGAAGAAATTTCTACTAAAAGTAAATTGTAAAATACTTCCGCGGCCATTTTATAAAGCTACACTCATGGTTTCAAGCTCTTACAGCAGGGTTTAGAGCTCTTTGACAGAGTCGTGAAATGGTTGGTAGATATCATTAGGTGATGTAGAGCGTTCCTCGAGTAATTCTGATGATGATGGACGATCAGCTAGAAAACCCAAGTTACTATTCATTAGAATATCTCAGGCCATTTAAGTTTTTAGCTTAAAACGTTACAGTACATTGATAGATGATTTATAAAAGACACTGATCAGATAAAACTTCTAATCAAAAATTAATTTCAGTGCGTCATTATAATAGATAATAATCTACAGATACAATACAATCATATTGTAAATAGAATTATAAAAGAGAATGCTAAATTGTACCATTTATAGCGTCAAAAATTGCAGGTATTACATAGAACGACAAATGATATCCATTGTATTGAATTATAAGTATCTATTTGCAAATAAATCAATGAATAAATTACCCGATGAAAGTGTATAAATTATAAATAGGTTAATGTATGATAAAAGCAATGTATTTGGAGTCGTGCTGCAATATCTTGCTGCAGAATAGATGAGCTTTGTGTTGCAAATTTGGTATACATCTGTAATATGAACGTATATCTTAATATCAAATTATAATGAGACTGAAGCTAAATACTGTCTATAGTTTACGCGAGTAGTACACATTTAAACCGTGAGACCCGTGACCACGGGTCTTCGGCCCGACGTTACCCGTGACCACGGCTGCTGCAAAGTATCCGAAACGTCGGGCCGAAGTTAAAAATCATTTTCAAATAAGTTTAATTAATATATCGCGCCTTAAAGCGTATTTAGATGATAAAAACTATTGGTTTCTGTATAAACAAAGGAAACATGTGAAAAGTCAAATCATAGTATGGACGAACCCTAACAATGGACAAACAGGCGACAAATATTTTACATTTTCAGTACGCAACGTTCCGGACTCGATAAACTTTTTGGCAATGTTTATTCTAGTTTTCTGTACGTCATATTTTTGTATCGTGAAAATGGAAATTCCAGTTTCGTTAACTTTGACAACCGGTGAACAATGCAATTGATCGTTTGACGAGATCGTCGGTCTATTAATAACGCGTAGCGGGTCGTAAGTTACGTAAAATTTATCATTTCAATATTAAATATTAATAGCGGGCAAAACATGCGAAAGTTAAAACGAATTATTTAGTTTATTGTTCATGTGATAGATTATATGAATAAAAAAATAATGTATTGGAAAACATAACACTGTTGGTACAGGAGCTCTTGCTAACTGCCTCGTTCATTCTAATACTAGTGGGTTGTATGATGATAAAATTGAACTCTTTTGACCATTTTCTTTTTTATAATAGAGGAAGATAGAAATAGCACATATATATATTTGATGTTAGATGAAATACTTCAAAACAAGATGTACTGTTGACCTATTTTGGCTTTGAACCCATTTAAACCGAAACACAAACTTCTCGGCTTTTTCTTCCGTGGACGGTGGTTCATGACCCGGGCGGAATTTCGATATTCCTAACCCCACCAGGCGTAAGAGGGTTGGAATATTTTAGTTTCAATAAAAACGTTATATTGTGTATCGACGATACAGTAAAAGAACTCTCCTTGACCTGTATAAAATCGGCTAATAGAGAGCAGTCGATACTGATTATGTATTCTATAGATTTTGCACTGCGGCTTCGAGCTAAAGGCTGGTTAACAAATTTACATACGGACAAGAAATTATTCAAGGGGTTTGAGGGTAAGCTTATTTTGAATGGCTTACAAAGACCACTCAATTGTGGACCTACCTTCAAGAAATATAGTTCTTAAGTATTGAGTTAGTAAGCATCTGAAGCTTAAGTTGAATATTTAAATATAGCAGTGGTAGTAATCCTGAATCCAAACCCCGGAAATTAGTAATTTGTTATGATTAGATATACCAGAGATAATGCATATAGACACAGATATATGTCGAAATTTCGACTCGGGCTGGACTTCGGTTTAAAGACATTTGGACTTGAACCGGCATCGTCAGCGTTCCGTACTGTTGCCCTTTATATTCGATTTTTAAACTGTATAGTGCCTTCATGTGCAATAACATGTAAAAAATAATAAAGTTTTCTAACAGAAATATGTCTTATCAATAAAACAAGAGTATATATAGGTTATATGTAGGTTATATAAGCTATTGCCTTAAGTATTATCTCACAGCAAACGCAATAAGCGTTCAAAGGCATGACCTGTAAAAAGTAACAATAATGATTTTCTTTGTTTCAGATAAAATAAAAATGTACGGCCTATAGTACAAAAGAAACGAAGCAATGATGTAATTATGAAAAACACTGCATGGGTCGTGGAAGGGAACAACTGTCGCAATGTGTTTCAAATTATTTCTTTTCTGTTGGTTTTTCTCTCAATTTGTCGAATTGAAGATACCTTGGCTTGCCCGGACTTAGTGGACAGTGACAGATGCCTTTGTTATACCTTTGAAGATGGTAAGATGGGAAGGACATTTCCTTATCTTTTTAAAATTAACTTCGATTGAGTTCGATAGATTTATATAACATAGCCTAAATTATATATTATACACATTATAAATGCGAGCTATTACTTCACTTGTTTTTCACTTCCCGAAATTGGGAAGACGTTAATAATGTATCCAGGGTTCTGTATACTTTTATGTTTCAGCCACATTCCTAGACTGTCAAGATACGACTCTAAAAGATGTCAAAAGTGCGCTTCAAATTGTGTCACACATACACACATTTTCGATTTACGACCTCGACAGTAACGAAGAAGAATTGGGACCACATTTCATACCGCAGAATGCTTGTATCAAGCACATACATATATCGAGAACAAGCTTAAAAAGCGTCAGCGAGGAAGCCTTTGCGCCATTAAAAAAGTGCCTTGAAACTCTAAGCATTGTGTCTAGCAAAGTTAAGTTAATACCGCACAAAGCCATTTCCGGTATGCTGAATTTAATGTCAGTTGAATTAACTTCGAATACTATTGAAGAAGTACCTAACTACAGTTTTTATGGCCTTCCTTTGGCTAAAGTCAGTTTAAAAGGAAATATGGTACAGCATATTTCGGAAAATGCATTTTCCGGCTTGGAACACACTCTCAAAGAGGTTGATTTGAGCGAGAACAATTTGACCACCTTTCCAATAACCCCGATCGCAAAATTAAAAACACTCCGGTCTTTAAAACTAGCTTGGAATGAGATGTCTCTGTGTCCCACCAACGAAGAAACTGAGTTAAAATCCCTAGAGTATTTAGATTTAAATTCTAATAATTTTGAACTTATTTCGGAAGACTGCCTTAAATTTAGTCCGTCCCTGACGATATTATCATTTCATTTCAACTTTATCAAGAACATTAATTACCGTGCTTTTTATTCCTTGGTTAATTTGAAGTCGATTGATTTGAGTTATAACAGATTGAAAATCCTAAACAGTAACCTATTTCAGAGTAATAAGAATTTAGAATTCATTAATTTAAGTCACAATCACCTTCATCATATAAACGGCTTACTTTGCAATATGCCATCTCTAACAAAGGTGATATTAAGTAATAATAACATACTTGAAGTGCCAATAGATTCATTTATTAATTCAACGAAAATTAGTATTTTACATTTGGATAAGAACTGCATTAGTAATATTAACAGTGAGAGTTTCAGTGACTTAGACAATTTAGCAGAACTACGATTAGATTCTAACTACTTAAATGAAGTGCCACATAGGATTTTAGTTAATAATGAGAATTTAGCAATTTTAAGATTAGACAATAATAATTTTATAGAGTTTAATAATAACACTTTTGTGGCTTTGGCGATAGTGAAAGAAGTTAGATTAAATAATAATAGACTTTATTTTATATCTAGAACGTTATTTTTCAATTCAGTCAAAGTAGAAGATCTGTATATTGATCACAATGAAATAAATTTCATTGAGTCTCAAGCGTTCATAAAAATGACCAATTTAAAATATGTTTCTCTTAATGATAATAAACTCACAAATATACAGGATATAATGCCAAAATTAAGCTCAAAATTACTTACTCTTTATTTGCATTCGAACAAAATTACATCGGCCAATACTTTTGAAAACGAAGACAAATTATATCACCTCACTTTAAAAAATAATAATTTAAAATTTATAACCAAACACACGTTCGGAAACTTGACTTTTCTAATAAGACTAGAACTAGGTCACAATGAAATATCTATTATAAATGATTTTTCATTTCAACGTCTAACATCAATTCGTTATTTAGATATGCAGTTCAACAGTCTACGTAATATAACGAGTTTTACTTTAATTGGCTTGAGTGAACTGGAGGACTTAGATATTTCACATAATAGAATTAATTTTGTATACGACATGGCATTTGAGCATTTGAAGAAGTTGAGAAGTCTCAATTTGTCATTCAACCCTTTAAAAATACTTTACAAAAATCTTTTTCAACAACTGCCACTGAGTTCCTTATACTTAGACTACTGTGAAATTCAAGTGATTGAAAACGGTACTTTTGTAGGTTTAAATAATTTAAAGGTACTTTCACTTAATAATAATTATCTGAAATCCAACGACCTATTAGCAATAGATGTGGCCGGATTAAAAATGTTATCCTTGTCGCACAATATTCTCGACTATTTACCAGTAGAAGCATTCTCGCAACTGCCATTGTTGGAAATATTATTTTTAGAGCATTGTAACATCGAACAAATACTAGAAGGGACATTCTCATTAAATAAGAATTTACTTAGGCTCAATGTGGCTCAAAATATTTTAAGCGCAATTCCCACTAAGCTATTCGGGCCATATAATTCAGTTTCAGAATTGAACATTAGCAACAATTTTTTAGATTATGTGCCGTATAATACTTTACATAACCTTACATTGGTGGAGACGTTAGATTTCGCAGACAATTTGCTCCCAAAAATAGAATTGAGCGGTTTCGAGGCTCTATCGAAACTGAAATATCTTATCCTACGCAAAAATGAAATACAAACAATCACGTCTAGTCGAAAAGTGTCACTCGTTGAACTCTTGTCCTTCGATATAAGCAGTAATAGGTTAAACTATTTGCCAAACATAATATTAGAAAACTTTCCACGCATCCAAAGTATAAATATCTCTAATAATAATATTCTTAATTTAGATTTTTTGTTCTCATTTAAGAAACTTGGCTCGTCCCTTATAAATATAGATTTAAGCAGAAATCCAACATTTGCATGGTCTCTTTCAAATAAATTTAATAAGAACACGTTGATTGCTAATTTCTACGAATTACATATTTGCACAACGAATCTTACCAACGTAGACGACATAGATTTTGGACTGCTTATTAGTTTACAGCATTTATATTTGAAATACAATAAAATTAGACGTCTCTCCGTGAGCCCGTTTTCAAAGTTAATTTATTTAGAAAATTTAGACTTGAGTTACAATAGAATCACTCATTTGAAAACGAGCAATTTTCGTGGACTAGTTAAATTAACTGCTTTATGCCTGTCTCACAATAATATTGAGTCGATGGATTCATTTGACGAAGACTTGAAGAATTTAAAACTTTTAGATTTATCTTTTAATAAATTGCAGAACATATTAAACGACGACTTAATACATTTACACGAGCTTACAGTACTATATCTAGGTTATAACAATATCAAGTATATATCAGCAACGGCATATAAAAATTTAAACAAAGTTGTGCAAATAGATTTGGAGCATAATAAACTTCAGACAATTCCCATTGAGCTGTTAAACTCAGTTGAGAATCATATAAAGGAGATTAGTATAAAAGGTAAATATGAAGATTTTACGTAGTAATAAACACTTATAGAATATAGAGTAACTTTTATTAGTCTTGTATACTAACTTTGTTTTCTAACATCATTTAATAATATATATTGAATTATGAGTTAATTCAATATGTTATTCTTAGGTTTTAGTAAAAATAATGTACAATATTAATTACTCTGACGGTTGAAAATATATTTATACTAAGATACTATACTTGTCAAAAATAATACTTATTTTTATAACTCGTGCAATCTCTCTTTCATCTCTTTGGAACCACAAATATGTGAATTATTTAATTATTTCAGAGAATATTATCATATGTCGTTGTCAGAAGAACAATACATGGACGTGGATTCAAGATCACCCCAAAATTATAGAACCCAATTCGGTGAATTGCTTCAATAATGAATACCCAAATGGGAAATGTAATTTTCCCCTAATCGCCCAGGTGTCGGTTGATAAGCATAACGATGGCTCCGTTTCCGTTTCGTGGTTTATAAGAAATCGCACGTCAATAAAATATCTTCAAATTATGTACTACAACGAAGAATCATTAGAGGTAAGTTCACGATAAAATATATTGTTTTACGATCTTAACATTTAAAAACTTTTCGTTTTAGGTATACTCAAAATATATCACTCGAAATGAAACTTCTACAACCTTGCCCGAATTACAGAACAATTTGAATTACATAGTTTGCCTCTTAGCGTTACTTGAAACTCCTATATACAACGATGATGTTGAAGACTTAGAAATAAATATCACAGATTTGAACTTTAACCATTTAACTAAGATCAACAAGAGTATCGCAGAAGCCATAATAACGCAGTCCACGACAAGCGAATGTCTGGCATTTGACACTTTTAAAAAACCGCTAACAATAAAAACGAAAAACAATAAGGTCTATAAAATATCATCCATTTTAAATAGGCGCCTCGGATTAATAGTAGGTTGTTCATTAGGCGTTGTAGTGTTCTTTATAATGGTCTCAGTTTTATTGTATACAAAAATTAAAGAAAGAAAAAGAATCGCCAAGTCCGAGCCGGCGTGGGCTGAAATGAATGACTACCATTCAATTCACAGTAAGGAGGATATTATACAGAGCTCAACCACTGCATCCACAGATAATATTTTACTAGGAATGTCTAAGGGTCGTTACAGTTCCGTAGATAAAATGAAATAGATTTAGACTAGCACAGTCTTGTTAATCAAACTTTATAAGCTATTAGGCTGTGGTTTCCTATAAACGCCGTAGGTGGCTTATTGCGTCACGCGTTGCTAGACAAAGGACAGTACAGTTCGCAGTTGTTAACAATAGAAGTCGACAAACAATTCTCGCGCCAGTTTCGACGTTTATATTGCAACAAATTGGAATAAATAGAGTCGAGTCGTAACGCTATATATGCAACCAAAATCCACGCCCTTTCACAGCGGTATCATGTGAAAGAGACAATACTACATTCTACCATACTAAGTGACGTAAAACATAGTGACGCTGCTTTATGATCTATATAGCTTATATAGGAAACCAAAGTCTAAAGGTCACACTAGAAGCTTGTCTGCTTTAGTATTTAGTGATAGTTGCTTTTAAATATATTTATAATTACTGTTGTTCTTACATAGAAAAATTATATGAATTGTACTAGTTGTAGACAGTTATATACTTAATAAAATTGTTGCTCAATTGTTTTTTGTTGCATTTGAAACCTATCCGCGACATATTTTTGAAATCCTCTTTCCAATACATGGAGTAGACATATTTTTGTGTCTGTTTCCCCGTCAAATAGTTAACACGAGTAGGAACGATTTAAAACGCGAAATGTTTTAGTTAAACTAATATACAAATTATTATAATTCACTATCACAAGACAGTATCCCTGTGACCATGGCTGCTGCAAAGCAATTTGAAACGTCGAGCCGTGGTTAAAATCATTTGTAAATAAGTTTAATTGATGCTTTCGCGTTTTAAACCGCTAAAAGCGTTTTATATACATCTGTTGTTTCCCTGAGCAGTCTCATTTACAAGCAAATCTATCAGTTGCTTGGCCAAAATTAATAATTTCCATCCAAGATTCAAACTCATGATTAAGTATTGAGTCAGAGGTTGTTAATGATAGCGACAGCTTAAATAAGCTTTTGGTATACGTGTCTTACGACGCTTCAATTATAGGAGAAGGCATTCATGTAGGTATAGCTAATAGAACTAAGCCTCCAGCGAAGCTTGATTGGTATGACGTCAAGCTGCGGAGACGTTATGAGGAACAATTATCTTAATTGACACATAAGTGCTGGGCCCTGGAGAAATAATCTAATGCATTTGGTATTAGGGGAAGATTATCTAGGGATACTGCTGATAATATCATTAATTTATTACAAATCTTGATAAATCGAACCGGTTTATTCATGTTGGAAAATGGCAAAGCTTTAGAATTGTGACTATTTGATATAACACTCTTTTTTATCATTTAATTTATTTAAGAACTATCGAAGTTTTATCACAATAACTTACAGGGTATAACAACTTTAAATGAGTAAAAAAACTAAATTGTTTAAATAAAACATTTTAACGGTTTAAAAGGCGATATATTAATTAAACTTATTCACGGCTGCTGCAAAGCTTCCCAAACGTCGGACCGAAGTTAAAAATCGTTTTCAAATAAGTTTAACTAATATATCACGTTTAAAACCGTTAAAGTGTTTCATTTATATGTGTACTACTCACGTTAACTATAGACAGTAATTAAACTAAATTTTGTAAAAAATTATAGACAGACACACATGTTAAGTGACAAAGACAGAGTGACCACTAAGTTATACAAAAAAGATACCATTTTGAAAAATATATAATTACCAAGATATACAATTATATAACTAAATATATGAATATGCGGTGATAATACAAAACATAAAGTAGGTAATTCATTTAGACGGGCTCGTAGGTCTAATGGTAGCAATATTTGGCTAATAAGCAACGGGCCGTAGGTTCGACCCCCACCAGGTCAAACATGTTGGACTTCGTCTGGAAATCTGGATATTAAATGGGTAGAAGCAATATAGAAATGCCATGCACAGATAAAAAGCTGTGAAGCTTAATCGCGTTTCGGTGTCTGCCTATGGATTTCAGAATATCCAAAGACTAAATAGTTTGACAGCGAATCTTGTCTATATGCTATAGGCTCGCGTATATCACCTACCATCGAGTGAAACCTTATGCTTATCAAACCTCCTCAATCATCAAAATTGAAAAAAACTGAGAGTCCAGGTGTATATCAATTAAATCACTACTCCCATTAATAACTTGACTACATCTAGATAGTGGTAAAGATTGTAAGTATTTTTATTGTGATTTTTAGAAAAAAAATTATACAAACTGGATTTGAACCCCGAACCAAGTGATTTGCAAGTGTACCTAAGCAGCAAGGCATTGATAAATAACACTTAAACACAGCGTGAGTATAAAAATTTCTTGAAGTGGAAACTCGTTTAAATAAAACTTGTATAGGCAAAGGTTATTTTCCTACAAACGCCAGTGCGACTGGATCGATTCTTTGAGCAAACTTTAAACTTCACGTACTCGAGAGACATAGAATTTTCAGTAAACACAACATTCATATTTCATGGTCTTTCAGAGTGAAACGTTGGAAAAGAAACCCTCGACCTATTTATGGCGGCCTTCTTTCATTTAAAGCGTAATCTTTTTTAGGTGTTCACTTTATTATTTTAATTAAATGCAAACATTATTATGACTGAGAACGCTTTAGTTTGACCTAAGTAGTGATTATCTCAACGTGTTTTTTCTCCCTTTCGCTAAAATGACGACTAATTAACAACTTTACCGTGAATACTGCAGTTTACACAAGTAGTACAGAAAATAAAACACTTCCGATGGTTTAAAACGTGACATTTACTAATAATTTAATTACAATCTATTTATGGCTCCACGTTTCAGATGCTTTGAAGCAGACGTGGTCAGGAGAGCTAATACATTTCGCATTCTGAACCGTTAGAACTTTAAGTTTACAAAAAATATGAACCTATGGAATTCAATGATGAATGAAAGAGTTAACAAGTTCATACCGTATTTAAGAAATATTAGTGCCATGGTCGAGAATCGAATACAGGCAACAGCATTTCGAACCGTTACTGTACTGCTGTGTAACGTGATGTCCTCAAAAGTGAATTTTATTTCGACAAACATTAATTATAAATTTTTATAATAATACAAGCCATTAAACAATTAAAAGAACTGAACAATAGTAAATTAATCTTAATGACAAAAACATAGTTTTAATATCGTTCCGTCGCATCAAATTTGGACGGACAATTACCTTGTTTTATTATTTCTATACATATTGATATATTAAACCTCCATGGTGCTTAACAGAACAATGGGTTGGAGCAATACACTTGTGACCGTATTAAAACAACATTTTACCTATTGACAATAATTTAGTATAGAATGTATGTAAATTATTTTTGTGCTATGTCGAATTCCAAATGTCTATGTCTGTAGTAACCAATAAGTAAGCTTTTATTGGTTTAGGTGTAAATAAGACACAGACATATAACTTAATAGTAATAGGTATTACAGCAATCTATGAAAAAATATATCTTTAAATAAAAAAATGAAAAAAAAATGGTTTCGTAAATAAATTAAAACAGATTTAGTTTCCCAGCTAAAAATACAATCAAAACACAATGATATAATCTCATTGTTGTAGACAACAATAGGTATTATGAGATATGTGTTATGAGAATAAAAAAGTTTAGAACCAGGTCCGATTAGAAACTTTCTTTTAAGTATGGTCAGTTTATCGTCTACCTATCAAAACCTTTTTTTAAGTTGCAAGGCTTATAATGCCACGAAAATAATATGTTTACAAATATTTTCCTTAAGATAGAGGAGAACAGACAAACATGGGGTTCGCTTTATGGAAGATGAAATACTCCATCCATATGTAATCTAAACAAGATCCGCTGATCCATTTTGTCTTCGGTTATTTGGTATTTCACAGACACGCGATCCAACTTGACGGGTTTTTCGTCTGTGGACGGTGTTTCGTGAACCGGACGAAATTTTGATGTCGCTACCATCCATGTATTTTATATTCAGGTTTCAGACAAGGTCCAACATTTAAATAAAACACTTTAACGGTTTCAAACGCGATATATTAGTTAAACTTATTAGAAAATGATTTTTAACTTCAGCCCGACGTTTCGGATGCTTTGCAGCAGCCGTGGTCACGGGGAGACTGAAGATGGAGGATGTCTCTGACGTCAAAGTAAAAAATTGCTACGCTAGCGCCATCTGTTCCGTCGAAGGTGGTATTTGGCGAAACTGGCCGGGTCCTTACAGAATTGACTAAACATCCGAAACGTCGGGCCGAAGTTAAACATCATTTTCAAATAAGTGTAACTAATATATCGCGTTTGAAACCGTTAAAGTGTTTTATTTAAATGTGTACTACTCGCGTAAACTATAGACAGTATTTAAGGTCCAACATATTTCAGACAAATTATAAATAATTTAGAAACATGTCAGACTGTGGAAATCGAACTCAGAACCCCATCAACAAACCCACTGAATACATTTATACATCCTACTAATATTATAAACGTGAAAGATTGTATGTTTGGATGGATGTTTGTTACTCTTTCACGCAAAAACTACTGAATGGATTTCAATTAAACTTTCCAATATATATAGTTTATACATCAGAATAACACATAGGCTACAATTTATAAAGATATTGTTTGAGATGTCCAAAATATGACATTAAGTGTAACTAGGAAAAAACCTACCTTTCTGCGAGCTATTCTGGCGTGCGCTGCCATAAACGTTAGTTACACATGATTATATAATGTATGATAATATGATAGACATCATTAGTTTGAATGCGCGATAGTACGTAATCCTAATCCTGCCTAGAGGAAGTCGCGGGTACCAGCTAGTAAAGAAATAAAAACTCTAACCAAAAAATTTTCAATAACATTATAACTATTCAACGCTACACCAATTATGTGTTATAAAATCTATTTGTGATAAACTACCGACACAAATAATGAATCATAACTAATGTCCATTTTCAGCTAAGAACGCATGAAAATTCCCTTTCATGATCTCGGAGCATACATTTCAATTATATCCGATTAAATAAATTACTAATGTGAATAAACGCTTAC